CCTGCTACAGGGAATGCAGATGCTCCTGTCAGCTGCTCCTGAGCAGTTACTACTCAGCTCTGAGACTTCTACAAGTCACTGAGGTACCTTGCTGTTCTCCTATGCTACTCTTTTGCAAGCCTTCTAATGCTGCTTAAAGCCTAATGATGCTTTTCCCAAATCCTTTATTCCATATATAAACATTTTTTTTTCTTCATACTTCAGTTTTGCTTGAATAAAGTGTAGATGGCATATAGCTTTCAGCTTTGCTGGGGTCAGTGATATGTGCAGACAACCATAAACACTTGGATGCATTGGGGCACATGTAATAAGAGGAAGGCTTAGGCTTAGTGCCGGTAACTGAGCGCCAGAGTGAAAGAGCTAATTCAGTCCCTGTCCATTTTTGCTCCATTATGCAGAGTAGTTGCAAAAAAAGATAAGAAATTACCGGCAGCTAACACTGTTAGTTACAATCAGTCTCTCTGAAGAAAGAACAGGTTTACAGAACCTGTGGTACCACATAAAGACCTTACAGAATGAGCCTCAGTTTTCAAGGGTCGACAGTAGAACAAACAAGAATGAGAGTGTGTTAATGACATTTAAGCATGTCATTTCAGCTTTGTTTAATGGATTCTGGGGTCTTGTGGCAATATATCATGCAGGAATAATGATACATATGAATTTTCCATCCCTTTCCATACCAGTGTCATTTTCTTTCTTGAAGGACCTGCTACATTTTTTAAAGGGGGAGAGATCTGGACTAATCAATCTATATCCAGGCAGGTAAGTAAATGATCTGATTTCAGAGAATCCTGAGAACTAATCTGCTTTCAGTAACTTGGGAAAGGGGATAATGAATAAAAACAAAACGAAAATTGTATCACCCCTTTAGCCGTGAGAATATTTCTTTTTTTTTAAGTGGATTCAGATAGAATCATATAAATTTGTTGAGGTTGTAAGAGACTTCTGCAGATTTTCTAGTCCGCCCCCTTGCTCAAAGCATTGTCAACTAGAGCAGGTTGCTGAGGACCATATACAGTTGGATTTTTGAATATCTCCAAGAACATGGAACTTATATATTCCACTTATATAGAACTCACTGGAACTTATCTGGGCAACTTGTTCTGGTGTTTGACCACACTCACGATAGAAAAGTTTTTTCTTTTGTGTTCAGCTGGCTTTCAGAGATATTGGGCACCTGAATCACCTCTGAATATCAATTAGAGATAAAATAAAAAGTTTTTTTAAAAAGTCCTGAGAAAACCCAAAAGACTGCATCAGATTGTAAACTGAATCATTGGATGCTACTGGCGTCTTCATATCTTTTTTTTTTCTCTCTGGTGAGTGATAATTCATAATATTTTCTCTCTTTTTTTTACATATGGGTGTGAAAAGTCTTAAAATTAAACTTTAGGACAGAAGTGTCTACTGTGGTGCAGAAGCTAAAAAATTCTTTAGTGAAGTGCAGTGACTTGGAAATTGGAATACAAATAAAAGAGCAATCACAGTACAATCACAGTAGAGAAAAATAAGGTTGTTACAATGCATAACTTCTGAAATCTATGGATCAGTGCTGCTGTGTAACTCTGAAGTTTGGTGGCTTATGGCACACCAGACTGGAAAATCATGATGGATCAAAATCTCAGTTGAAATATTAGCAGTGACCTGCATTTTGAAACCAGTCCAAAAATGTCTTATGATTAATTAGCTATAAGAAACCTCATGAAGTTCATATCCTTGTTTAGTGTTATTTGGAACTATGCTGGTTTATATCAGCTCATCATATGACCTATTTTTACATGGTGTAATGTTTGTAGCTAAAAGAATGGAAATTAGAGGTATTAACATAGTTTTGAAATTGTAAGCAGTTGTTTTTTCTTTAGCAGATGGGTAAGTGGATGGAAGTAGTTTTATTATTTAGAACCAGCCTTGGAATAATAACACTGCTGCTCCAGTAACATTGCAGATTGCAATTTTAATCATTCATGTTATTACCAGTGTTTGCAAGGTAACAGAACATTTTAGGAATAGAGACAAACTTTACCAGCTGTGGAATCTGGTCTAATGATTAAGAATATTAATGCATACCCTAATTTAATTTCCTGCTATATTAAGATTGTAGGTGATTTCTGCTTGCTGTATAGCAAGTTTTATTGTGTGTATTAAAGGTGGGGCAACTTTTAAGAAGGTGAGGCTCCTATGATGCATGCAATTTTATTTTGTGGTATAAAAGTATTTAGAAAGCACATTTTCTGAATCATACCTGTCCTGTTTGCTAAGTGTAAATAACTTTATCAAACAGTACATAGTGCTTCTTTGTTCCACCATCTTTTAATCTGTCTTCCTACTTCTCTTCTTTCACATACAACTGGCTATTGAATAGTCATTTTTTTATTTTGCTTAAGGAAGTCTTAGAAACTGTGGTATATTTAAGCCTGATTTAACATTAGTGTCATCGAAAATTCAAAGCTGATGGTCTGATTTTAGTTACTGCTTACACTGAATTCAGTCAAGAAATAACTTACTGAAGTAAAATTTTAGCTGTGTAAAAGTAAAATGAAAGAAGAATCTGGTCCAGGCAATGCTACTGTAGTTTAAGTATGGCTTGCTAGTACAGAGTAAACATTCATCCAGCTGATATGCTGTTTGTGAAAACGGCTAATATTGGAAAGCTTAAGAAACAGAGCAATGACAAAGTCATCTTTCTCTTAGTTTAACTTCCCAGCTGATGATTGTTTACAGACTTTCTGAGATAAACTCTTTCTCTTCTGAAAGTTTCTATCAGTTTAAGCAGCTGTAATAGCCAAATGTCCCCTGTTATGTTAGATGCATTTTCCTGTAACAGAAGAGAATGGGGCTTCAGATGTCTCCTTGTACTCATGTGTGCCACAGGACTTTAAATTAGGAAATCTCAGTGCTGTTTCAGAGTCCTAAGTCCACCTTTACAAGTGATGGAGCACACCTATGACTACTCTTTTCTTGGGCACCCAAAGTTTTGCTATGATTTCACTAAATCTGGTTTTCTCCAGACTCCAACCTGTGCCAAATTCTACTGCCTCTCTATCACTAGCTCCATGTAGCAAGCTCTCTATTCTATTTAGCCTTTCTTTCAGAAAGTCTAATAAGGAAAACTTGAAATTCTCCATAGATTCACCACCTTGCCGTACTTTGCGTTTTTTTTCCTCTTTTGTTTTCTCTCTCCTTTTCAGATTATTTAAGGTAACCACAAAAAGGTTACAAAATATATTACATATACGGGACATATGTTACATGTCCTGTTATATAACCTTACCCTGCTTGGTGGAAAATCTTTCTCCTCTCTAACTCACAGCCTTTCAGTGCAATACTGTTTATACAACAAATGTGGTGAAACACACAGTTGACCTAACTGAAATTTATGGCATTTAATAGCCACGTTCATTTACAGGGCCTGCTTTGGTATATCGGCACAGTTGGTCTGAGAAGCTTATGGTGACTTTTTAGTTGTAGAGTTCAGCGAGCACCACTGGAGGGATCACAGGCTCATGAAATGAATGTCATGCAATGCTAGTATGTTTAATATATACTCAGGAGCAATACCTTTCTTCAAATTGTTGATATCTGTATTTATAAAGTACCCCTGACTGTACTATGTGAAAACTGGATTAAGGCCCATTACAAGAGGCAGTTTCCTAAAATGGAAAGGCATTTAATATAGATATTGATTGTCTTCTCTCAAAGTGGTATTGCTGTTTTATTATTATTATTATTGTCTGTCATGTCAATGGACTGTCTTGCCAGTGGAGTTCAGAGGTTGGAGAACTGGGCAGAAAGGAACCTTATAAGGTTCAACAAGGAAAAGTGCAGGGTCCTGCACCTGGGGGAATAACCCAGGCACCAGGACAGACTAGGGGTTGACCTGCTGGAAAGCAGCTCCGCAAAGAGGGATTTGAGAGTGGACAACAAGTTACCCATGAGGCAGCAGTGTGCCCTTGTACCCAGTAAGGCCTATGGGATCATGGCCTGCATGAGGAGGAGTGTTGCCAGCAGGTCGAGGGAGGGGATCCTGTCCCGCTACTCAGTTTGGGTGAGGCCACATCTGGAGTATTGTGTGCAGTGCTGGGACTCCCCAGTACAAGAGGGATGTGGAGCTTCTAGAGAGGGTCCAGCGAAATGCGACAAAGATGATTAAGGGACTAGGGCATCTTTCTCAAGTGGAAAGAATAAGCAAGCTAGGCCTGAGGAAGAGAAGATCGAGAGGGGATCTTATCAACATGTAAAAATACCTGAGGGGAGAATGTGAAGATGGGTCTGAACTCTTCTCGGTGGTGACCAGCAACAGAACTGGGGGTAATGTTTATAAATTAAAACACAGGATTTTTAATCTGCATATGAGAAAGAACTTTATTGTGAGGGTGAGAGAGCCCTGGAACAGGCTTCCCAGAGAGGTTGTGGAATCTGCTCCTTCGGAGAGCGTCAAAACCTGCCTGGATGCAATCCTGTGCTACGTGCTCTAGGTGTCCCTGCTTGAGGAGGGGGGTCGGCCTAGATGATCTCTAGAAGTCCCTTCCAACCTCAGCCATTCTGTGTTTCTGTATTAAGATGATCAGAGTCATAGGATGCCACTTGTCGTGACTTATTTTATTTTATTTTTTGCCATAGTCACTGTGTAATTCTTTTTTTCACATTAATGGATGATCTATATTTCTGTTTTAAGTTGGCTGATTTTGCTTTGAGCTTCCTTTTCAGAGTTAGTTTTGTCTTTTCCTTTCCCCATACTCCTGCTCCTGATGCACCATCTCATTTGCAGTGTCCTTACTGCAGCCTGTTAAAGGTAAACATATTCAGAAAGTTATTTTTTTTTCCTTCTTTGAGGCTTTAGTACATAGTTGAAGAGATGGTTGCTAAGAATCTGTAGGATGCATCATTGAGAAGGTCTGAATTGCTCTTTTTCTTATCTTCCATGCACAGGTTTCAGGTCAGAATTTGTGACTAAATGGGGTAGTTGTGTTCCAAAACATTCTTGATACCAGACTGTAACGATGGATGGAACGCAAGGAGACAATGCCAGTCCGGTGTCCCCAGAAGATGCAGAGAAGAGCAGGACTGGAGAACAAGACCCAGGACTGACTATGTTGGGAAAAGCGTACGAGTTCTTTCAGATTTGTGATATGGAAGGCAAAGGCTTCATTACTCGTCAGGACATGCAGGTAAAGCAAAATTGGCTATGTAAAACAGTACAATGAGAGAAGTTCCAAATGCCTTCAGGAAGTTAAGACCAATTAATTTAGAGTTAAAAAGCATAATACCATCCTCAATAACTTTAAGGATATATGTAGAATATAGCATAATCGCATTGTTTTACATAATTTGTGTTTTTTTTCCCACATACAAAGCAAAAATTAAAAGAAAAATCAAAGTAACTGCAGGTCAAATGAATGCTCCAGGATTTTAATTCCATTCTTGTTGAGATAGTGGAAATGCCAACAAATGAGTTACTTTGTGATTTGCCCAAATGTCATGAATGTATTCAGTCCCTGCATTTTATCCTATTTTTTTTTCATCTAAAACAAGTAAACAAAGTCATGGAATAGGTACAAAGGAATAGTATTTTAATATTCACAAAAATCCTTCCAAGTTATTCTTAAAATAATTATAACATTTTATGGCCTAAATTGAAATTTTCTGAAGTTGGTGGTAAAAAAGAAACCACACAACAAAAATCTTTTGAATTAACTTTGTAATTACTGAGACACAGTAGGACAGCTCTCATGACTGGAACATGGCCATGGATGGCTTTACAGTTTTTAGGAAGGGCAGGCCAGGAAGACCATGTGGTGGAGCTGCTCTTTACATGAGAGCGCAACTAGAATATATGGAGCTCAGCATAGGGGAGGACAAAGCATGAGTCGAGAGCCTGTAGGCGAGGATTAAAGGAGAGGCCAACAGGGGCGATACTGTGATGGATGTTTACTACAGGCTTCCTGACCAGGGAGAGAAGGTGGATGAAGCCTTCTACAGGCAACTGCAAGAAGCCTCACAATCACAGGCTCTGTGGGGTACCTCAACCACCCTGATGTCTGCTGGCATGGCCACACAGCTAAGGAACAGACAGTCCAGGAGGATCCTGCAGAATATTGCAGATAACTTCTTAATGCAACTGGTAGTGCCTCTCCAACAAGGAGAGAAGCACTTCTAGTCCTGATACTAACAAACAGAGATGGTCTGGTTGGAAATGTGAGGGTTAGGGGCAGTCTTGGCTGCAGTGATAATGAGATGTTGTAATTCACGATCATGTGAGGAGGAAGCTGGGCAAGAAGTAAGATTGCAAGCCAGGGCTTCAAGAGAGCTAACTTTGACCTCTTCAGGGAGTTCCTTGGAGGAATCCCCTGGGCCAGGATGCTAGAAGGAAAGGAGGTCCAGGAGAGCTGGGAAATATTCAAGCAACACTTTCTCCAAGCTCAGGATCAGTGCATTCGTACAAGAAGGAAGTTGAAAAAGGGGGACAGGAGACCTGTGTGGATGGGCAAGGAGCTGTTGGTAAAACTTAATGAGAAAAAGAGTGCATACGTAATGTGGAAGAAGGATCAGACCACATGGGAATAATATAGGAACATTGTCAGAGTGCAGGGTTGCAGTGAGGAAGGCCAAGACCCATTTGGAATTAGAGTTAGCAAGAGATGTCAGGGACAACAGGAAGGGCTCCTAGAAATACATCAGCAGCAAGAGGAAGATGAGGGAAGATATTAGTCCACTGCTGAATGGGGAGGGTGCCTTGGTGGCAGAGGATGCAGAGAAGGCCGAGTTACTAAATGCCTTCTTTGCCTCAGTCTTTACTGCTAAGGCTAGTCCCCATGAACTACAGATCCCGATCACAAGAGAGAAAACTGAGAGGGAGGAAGACTTTCCGCTGGTCAAGGAGGATTAGGTATTTAGGCAAAGTGGACACCCATAAGTCTGTGAGTCTGAATGGGGCCCACTCACTCAGAGATGCTGAGAGAACTGGCAGGTGGTATTGTTCAGTCACTCTCCATCATCTTTGAGAGGTCATGGAGAGCAGAGGAGATGCCAGAAGACTGGAAGAAAGCCAAAATCACTCCAGCCTTCAAAAAGGGCAATAGGAAGGACCTGGGAAACTACAGGCTGGTCAGCCTCACCTCTATCCCTAGAAAGGTGATGGAACAGCTCAACCTGGAGGCCATCTGCATGCATGTGAAGGGAAAGGTGATCAGGAGCTGTCAGCATGGATTCACCAATGGGAAGTCATGTTTGACAAACCTGCTAGCCTTCTACAATGGGATGACTGGCAGAATGGATGAGAGGAGGGCAGTGGATGTTGTCTACCTACACTTTAGCAAAGCTTTTGACCATCTCTCATAACATCCTTGTAGGAAAGTTCAGACAGTGTGGGCTGGATGAGTGGACAGTGAAGTGGATTGAGGACTGGCTGGATGGCAGAGCCCAGAGGGTGGTGATAAATGGAGCCGAGTCTTGTTGGAGGCCTGTGGCCAGTGGTGTCCTCCAGGGGTCAGTACTGAGCCCAGTACTGTTCAACTTGTTCATCAGTGACTTGGCTGATGGGACAGAGGGCACCCTCAGCAAGTTTGCAGATGATAGTAAACTTGACCCTCCCAATGACTGTGCTGCCATTCAGAGGAACCTAGACAGGTTGGAGAGGTGGTCAGAGAGCTGCTCTTCTGTGCCTGGAATATTGTGTGCAGTTCTGGACTCCCCAGTGCAAGAGGGATGTGAAACTGCTAGAGAGGGTCCAGCCTAGAGCAAAGAAGATGATTAAGACACTGGAGCATTTATCATATGAGGAAAGACTAAGCGAGCTGGGCCTATTTAGCCTGGAGAAGAGAAGGTTGAGAGGGGATCTTATCAACATATACAAATACATGTGGGGAGAATGTAAAGAGGATGGGGCCAAACTCTTCTCAGTGATGATCAGTGACAGGACAAGGGGTAATGGATATAAATTAAAAGATAGGAAGTTTCATCTCCATGTGAGGAAGAACTTTACTGTGAGGGCGACAGAGCCCTGGAACAGGCTGTCCAGGGAGGTTGTGGAGTCTCCTTCTCTGGAGATCTTCCAAACTCGCCTGGATGCTGCCCTGTGCCATGTGCTCTAGGTGTCCCTGCTTGAGCAGGGGGGTTGGACTAGGTGATCTCTAGAGGTCTCTTCCAGCCTCAACCATTCTGCGATTCTGTAACTGAAAACAGGATGGACTGCATGGGATGTCAGTCCACAGGTAGATGCCCCTGAATAGGGGGTTTGGACTATTTAATCTCCAGAAATCCCTTCCAACCTCAACCTGTGTGATTTTGTGATTTTGTGAAAAACATAATGCATTTTTTTTCCTGTGAAAGATACAAAGAGTTTGCTTTTGCATCCTGCTGTTCGTTAGTCCAGTACTACTTGCCGCTAATGAGGCAATACTTCAAATATGGGATGTTAACATTAAAATTTTAAATCCTTATATGTATGCTTGATGTGAGTCCTGATTTTCAGTAGAGTGCAGAATAACTAAAATGGAACTAACTTTATCAGAGCAGACCTTGAAAGCGAAGTTTTTTGAAATGACTAAATTAGTCGTATATTAAAAGGGCCTGATTGTACAATGCTGTGATTTTGAGATTGCTTGTTTGTAATTTTAATACTGCCTTTTTTGCATCTTAATTCCATTCCAATATTTTATGTCAAATATACTGAATTTTCCAACAAAACACTTTTCAGCAAAGTTTTCAAGAAAGTAAATTCTACCCGAGATTTGAAAGTACAGCTTTGCATTTCAGCCTTGAAGTTACCATGAATAATAAGGAATAGTTTTTATTTTAATGAAAAAAGCACAGTAAGGTTTGGTTCTGACTTATCTGTTTGGCCTCAGTGTTTTTATTTAGCAGATTAAAAGCTTGGTCTTGTCAATTAAGTAAGACTAGATGTCATGAAATCACAGCGAACAATAGGTAGGAATGCTGATAAATTCTCATTAAGTACCAGTTTTATCTTTGGATAGGTTTTTCTTTTTGAAAAAGAAACCTCATTTTGAAGGGAACTATGTATCTTACAGTAAGTTCAAAATGGACAAATAAAAACTCAAAAGATCAAGAATAACATTTGTTTTCCATAACAAAAGCTTCTTTCTTTTTCAGTAATAAAAATATTGGTTGAGAAGACTTTCACTTATGATAGTAACAATGCTAAGAGTGGCCACAGACTTATACTCATCAGGTCCAGCAATCAATCCTGAAAGAATTTACAGGAGCAAAATGTTGCTGTATTCTTCAAATCTCCTATTCTTCATATTTATTCAAGATGTGAATATATGTGGTGTTATATGTAGTGTTTTGCATTGCAAACTTACTATGATTTGTTTCAGAATTTGAACCCTGCAGTAGAATGTGGAGCTATAATTGGAGAGGCATGTATTTATGTGGAAGGGCAGCTTCATGTTGTCCTGGCTGCTACTTCCTGCCTCTGCTTCACTCAGTCCATCCTGGTACTGCTGTACCAGTATGAGCTACACGGTGAACTAAATACCATAACAAATCCTGGCAAAAAATATAATTATTTTAATTTCAATCTGTTCTTCAGTCTGGTTTGCAGCAGAACTCACAAGTATTTGTACTGGAACAGCAGGTGCGTGCTGGAACAGCAGATTTTTGCATGTGTGTGTGGCACATGGTAACAGGAGAGGAGAAGCAGTATAGTTGCCCGTACCAGCACTCGAAGAAGCACTCATCCAGCAATTTTGAAATATCTTTTAGTAGGAGGAGAAATTCTGTTTTTCTAAGGGTAAAATGACTGATGTCTGAATACCTCTGTCATCATTGCCATATAGGCTGTAAGAAGTTTACAAGAGAAATGAAAAAAAAAATTTCACCTACGTGATTAAAATCTAAAAATTTGGAAGAGATGTGTCTGCTTAAATGAGAAACTGCTGATAACTCAGGTGTGTCTTTGATCACTTGATTTATACTAAATGCATAAAACGTTTCCTTAATGTCTTGGAAGCAGAGAGCAATTGATGTTGATGTTGTTTCACTCTTTATGATGTCTTTAAATGCTCTGGGAAGCAAAAGCACCTGTCCTTTTGTATTATGGAGATTATTGCCTTGTTCCATGGATTATAAGTTGTCAAGTTGTATCACGTTTTGTCATTCCAGAGATTGCATCCTGAGCTACCGCTTAGCCTGGAAGAACTTGAAAAAGTTTTTGTTACACTGGATGCTGATGGCAATGGCTCACTTACCCCAAAGGAATTCACCACAGGATTCAGTGAGTTTGCAAAGCATGTCTCCTAGATAGAGCTTTATTAAATTTCTTTACTCTTACATCAATAACAAAGCATTGTATCTTAAGGTTACAGGTAAGATGCACATGGGGATCCAGACTTTTCTCTAGATATAGCATAAAACATAAAAATAAGTGGCCAGATTATATCTATAGGAATTCATTCCGATCAGAGGGCTGCAGGGTCTCTCTCTCCTGTATAACAGAGCAAGTTATGGCACAATATAAGACACATGATGTGGCAATGTGAATCAAGGCTGTTTTGACCTGTTGAACAGACATATAAGGAAATTTCCCTTTGGGTGAAATGTCAGATCTTTTATTTGGTATTTTGTAAAGCCTGATATAATTTAAAAAATCTAAGCAAGACAAAAAAAAATAAAGAGATTATAACATGAAATACTTTTTGACAGGGCTAATAAAACAAGATTGATATAAAATGGTATTGCTAATACTGCATATATGGTTGTAAGAATGGTTTCTACAACACATTAGTATTTCAAGGGATGCTACTTTATTTCAAAACAAACAAGATGAGGCAATCGTTAGTACGATATGGTGGGAGTCTAAATATAAGGAAGTGCTTTGTGATTGCTTGCTTTGCAAGAGTGTTCTTACCATCAGGTTCTCTGTTTTTGTGAAAGGATTGTTTTCTCTAAAACCGTGAGGCTTCAGATAAGATGACAGTGCAGTGTTAGTGATACTGTTTGCTCAAAAGGTTGATTGTTTACCCAGAATCATTTTTATGCTTAAAATTTAGCTCAATGGACTCTATTACAAATATTAGATTTGAGTATTTTCTCTATAAAAGTTTCTTCTGTGTGGAAATTTTAAGCCCTGCAAACAGGAGGAAATTCTCTCTCTCTCTTTTTTAACAAATCACAATAATCAGACATTTTAGTTCTGTCATGTCCCACTTCTTCCATTTTAGAGACAATTCAAGCAAAAAAGCTTGTTAAAGAGTACACTCTAATCCCAGTTAAATTTGCCCTTATTTTAAAATGAAATTATGTTTACTGCTTTGCTTTTCATAAATAAATTATGTATATTTCATAGATAAGTGAAGGTTTTTTGTTTTTTTTTTGTAAGTTACTAAGCCCTGAAAAATTCCCCAATTGTTCTTCCCACATCTTTTTTAGGGAAAAATCTTTTTTCCTGTAAGCAATGAGGAAAGGAAATTCCTCACAAATTACATTTACTGTAAAATTTGATCTTGAGTATTTTGCTGTTAAATTATATTGCTTCTTTTAGTGGCTTCTGATAGTGCTTAACAACTTGTAACCTACATAATATCTAATTCTTAGGCGAGTTTCTTTTGGGGCAGATGGATTTAAAAAAAGAGATGTGGCAATCAGAAGGTGAAACAGCCTGCCTACAGAAATGGGAAGAGAGTATGAGTGATGATGAGGATGAAGAACACCAATTCTCAAATCTGATGGAACGTCTTGGAGCTAAAAAGATTTTGGAAGAGTGAGTCTTCCAAATTGCATGAACTTTTATGTTTCATCTCTATGGTTTGATTTTAGTGAAATCCAAGATAAGAGATAGGAACCAAGGCCCTTTAGTAATATTCATTCCTTAAAAATGAATTTTCTTGGTTGGGAAAGATGATAAAATGCCCTTCAGCCAAAACTTTCAAGAGCAATGCTGTTGCACTCCAGAAATGTGAAAAGTATGCCTGTGCTATGTGCAAGCAGTAACACCAAAGTACTGAATATCATAGGTTTTGAACATAGATAATTACTAGTACATTATTTCAAAATCCACACATGCCACTGATTTGAACCAAATAATGCATGGCAACCACGTTTTTGGCAAGAACTGTGTTTAAAGTTTAGCAGTTATGCATAAATAGGAATTACTTTTGTTCCACCTTTTCTCTCCTGCTCACATGATTATATATTGTGAGTGCTATGATAGTGCTCAGCTCTTCCAGGACCAGGACGACTCAGTGTACTAGGTGCTGTATAAACACAGAATCCAAAAAATATACACTGTTCTAAGAGCTTTCCATGTGTTGTTCTGACATTCACTGGTTAGTCACCATGAATGTTTTAAATCAAGGGAAGCATAGGGGCAAAAACGGGTCTGGGCAGATGATAGAAATGTCTAAGAAAGTCATCAGTGATCCTCATAATGAAACAGACATGCTCAACAACACTTCTGGAAGATTATCATTATGAAAGGATTTTTATCACCTACTCTTTCTATCCTCATCCTCATTTTGTTCTTTAAGCGTAGCATTCACTGTTGGCTACGTTAGCGTATGGAGAATGGGAAGAGTCAGGACAAAACAAACGAAGGAGATTTTGGCATTGTTTTATAAGCCATTACCATTCACAGTAGAAAAAACTTCTTATATTTTCCCAGTGCCTGCATAGGTTAGAAGCAGAAATTCTGATTTTGGATCGGTAAATTAAGGTTTTAAAAATGTCATGTTTTGATTTAGCAGTCCTACGGTGGAATTAGAGTGTGTTGAAAATGAAAGAAGACACTAGAGGGGCAATTTCTGAACATGTCTATGTAACTTAGTAGAGTTAATCCTTTTCATTTCTCATGACAAAGTGTTTTTGACTAACTTGCTGTCTGCCCCTTGCCCACTTGAACTGGTGAGAACTTCCTTGCTTCTGACAGGAGTGATGAGACTGTACAGTGCATCTCATTTGTCTCCTTGTTTCTCCATGCCCCCTGGGATGAAATATATGACAGTCACCAAAAATGCAGCTCCCTAGAAGCATGGCCAGACCTTATAATGAGGTTTTTGGAATAAAAGCAAAGAGAAAGGAAGTTCTTCCTATTAGTTACCACCCACATCATCCTTTTCAAATCTGAACCTGTAGACGTAGCGCTTGTTTTAATTAAGCCTTGAGTTCTGATTTGTGATACTCTGAAGCTTTCGTTGTGTTACTTGGATGCTTCAGGCATACTGTAGAAGGAGAAATATACTGAGAAACAAATACGGAAAAATGATCTCTCTCTTAACAAATCCTTTCTAATCTCTTCTTTCAGTGAGAATGATGTGAAGCAGCTTTGGTTGCAGCTGAAAAAAGACGAACCTCACTTACTTTCCGATTTTGAAGAGTTCCTGGCCAGAATTATTTCCCAATTCCATGAAGCAGATAATGAGAAGAATGAGTTGGAATGTGCTCTAAAAAAGTTAGTACTGTTAGTACTTCTCTTTGTTGGGATGTCTGTGTAGTGTTTCAGCTATCTTATACATTATGCACTTTTGAAATAAACAAGCCTTCTCGATGGAGAATTGAGGGCCATTATCACAAGTGTTACTCTAACATAAAATTTTATCAGTCGTAAATAGTACCAGTGTAATTATTAATAATGGCTGAAATTATCTTCTCTTTTTCTGTTACCAGGTTGTATTGACTGAAATTCTTTGCAGATGTCCACTATTTTGTTGTCATTTTAAGACAATATTAAGCAAGAATGTCAAGAATATGAAAATTATATAAAATAAATTGATAATCCATGCAGTTATCCATTAGAAAAAGTAGTGATTCTCAATATGAATAGAATGCAACATGATGCTTACCACTGAAGTTCCATTTTGTTTTTGTTAAAAAATGTCACTTTTGAATTTCAGATACTTATAGATCTGGAACCTTTTGCTTTTTCAGGGTGATACTTAATTATTTTTATTCTCACAGTGAGAGTGCCTTTCCTGGGAAAAATGTGAGTAAAGAATGTACACTTATATTTGAGAAAGAGTAAAATATATGCTTTTGTAACTGTTCTTATGTCACTTCTGAGAATTTTTAGTACTCTTGTAGTATATGGTATCAAACTGCAAACATACTGAATAATGTATACATACTTACATTAACCTTTTTCTCTGCTCTGGTAAAATATAGTACCATAATGTTTAGAATCACAGAGGCAGCCTTCAGACTTGTTTGATACATTGCACCCAAGTTTGAACAATCTGCTGTGGTAACATTGTGCTGCAGCTGTGTATTGGTATTATTTGAAGGTGTTGTATTTGAGTGTATTGAGCAATAATGAAAAAAAAAATGAACATTTACTTCATTTGTTCAGTGCTCTCTTAGCTATACTGAGAAACTGTCACGGCTTTTGGAGAAAGGTCATTTTTCACCTCCATCCCTGGAAAGGTGTTGGAGCAGCTCATCCTAGAGACCATCTATAGGAAAATAAGGTGATCAGGAGTAGTCAACACGGGTTCACCAAGGGAAAGTCATGTTTGACAAACCCGATCGATAGTCTTCTACGACGAGGTGACCGGCTGGATGGATGATGGGAGAGCCGTGGATGTTGTCTACCTACACTTCAGCAAGGCTTTCAACACAGTCTCCCATAACATCCTCATAGGAAAGTTCAGAAAGTGTGGCCTGAACAAGTGGGTAGTGAGGTGGATTTGGGACTGGCTGGATGGCAGAGCCCAGAGGGTGGTGATAAATGGAGCCGAGTCTTGTTGGAGGCCTGTGGCCAGTTGGAGGCCTGACCCCAGTCCCACAGGGGTCAGTACTGAGCCCAGTACTGTTCAACTTGTTCATCAGTGACTTGGCTGATGGGACAGAGGGCACCCTCAGCAAGTTTGCAGATGATAGTAAACTGAGTGGAGTGGCTGCACCTCCCAATGGCTGTGCTGCCATTCAGAGGAACCTAGACAGATTGGAGAGTTGGGCAGAGAGGAACCTCATGAGGTTCCACAAAGACCAAGGGCAGGGCCCTGCACCTGGGGAAGAATAACTCCACACACCAGTACAGATTAGGGGTGAACCTGCTGGAAAGCAGCTCCGCAGAGAGGGATTTGAGAGTCCTGGTTGTCAACAAGTTACTGATGAGGCAGTAATGTGCCCTTGTACCCAGTAAGGCCTATGGGATCATGGCCTGCATCAGGAGGAGTGTTGCCAGCAGGTTGAGGGAGGGGATCCTGTTCCTCTGCTCAGCTCTGGCTAGGCTGCACCTGGAGTATTGGGTGCAGTTCTGGCCTCCCCAGTACAAGAAAGACATTGAGCTTCTAGAGAGAGTGCAGCGACAAAGATGATTAAGGGACTGGAGCATCTATCGTGTGAGGAAGGACTGAGTGAGCTGGGCCTATTTAGTCTAGAGACAAGAAGACTGAGAGGAGATCTCATCAACGTGTACAAGTACCTTAGGGGCAAATGTAGGGCCAAACTCTTCTCTGTGGTGACCAGTAACAAGACAAGAGGTAACGAGTGCAAGTTGAAACATAGGAAGTTTAATCTCTATATAAGGAAGAACTTCTTTACTGAGAGGTGACAGAGCACTGGAACAGGCTGCCCAGGGAGGTTCTGGAGTCTCCTTCTCCAGAGATCTTCCAAACCCGCCTGGATGCCACCCTGTGCCACATGCTCTAGGTGTCCCTGCTTGATCAGGAGGGTTGGACTAGGTGATTTCTAGAGGTCCCTCCCAACCTCAACCATTCTGTGATTCTGTGAAACCGCCTGGTTCCCTATCAGTGTCATAATTTCCATCTTAAGTCTTTCTACCTAATTGCAAGCCTTCAAAGATGGGTAGCCAGTTGGAAAGAACTGAGTAATGGTTAAGTCTCTGTCCTGAGCTTTAGATTATTAACAACCATGTTAATAATGTGGTCAACACAAAAGCTGTGATCAACGCACTGTGATCCATGTTAACATTATCTGACTTTTCCAGCTTACCTAAAAGCTCTACCTTCAAAATATACGGGATTTTTATGGCCCTATAGTGAAAGCAGATTTTAGCTAATTTCATCTTTCAGTTGTTCCCGATAACTCCTTGTTATTGCTGATGTTCGTCCTGAGAAAATGCGCACTCTATTCTAACCTGTGGCTAAAAATTGCAAGCTGGCATGTCATTTGTTAAGATGTTTTGAAGGGTGAAAGAAAAACCTTTTTCTAATGTTTCTTACTCCTTTTATCTTGAGAGAATTTTTGAAGCTTCTTTCTGATTTGCTCTGCTTTAAATGAAAAGAGAAACAGGTCTTTATGAAGTGAAGCTTTGAATTTGTAGAACACTAGGTACAAAAAAAATAGTAGGTCCCCAAATTACAAAATGAGCAGATTTTTCTCCCATAGCTTCCCTGTCTTGCTCTTATTAATGTGAATGCCTTAGGAGCTTGTATACTTTATTTGTAAGAGATGTATGCTACAAATTGCTCAAGGAGTAGCTATAGCAAAGAGGGCTATGGGGAACTATGCAGTAGTGCAATAGAAAGACCCTGTTAATCTCTCTTAAAAATCTTTATATACTGTCCACTAAGCTTGATGCAATGTGATTTTTATTTTTCAGTTCCTGCATTAATGAAAGTGAAATAAAATTAAGGCAGAACAAAGCAGAACAAAACAGCTTTCTCATTTCCTTGCAAAGGATAAAAGCTACCCATGATCATAATTTAATCCTCCATGCCTCAAACTGTGATTATACTCATTAAGTATAAAAAAAAAAAGTAGGCTTTGTCCTTCCTTTCTCCTACACTCACACCTACTTGTGCACTTCATACTTATTTCTGCCCTCCAACTGGGCTTTTAAAATTTATTTTACCAAGCCTGCTAGGAAGCAAGGCAGATTTCAGAAAGGACTTTCAGCCTTTTAGTTGGAGAATTTAGGCTCTGGTATTATTGCTAGTGTCACATGGAAGCTCTGTGTTGCT